TATAACAGACCCCAGATCTTTATTGTGGAGAACAGCTGGTTTATTTCGGGACGCACCAAGAGGGATGACAGCAAGTATGTGTATTATCTCAAGAGATTCATTATGGAAACTTTAAAAGGTAGGGATTGTTGGAAATGACATTATTGTTCCTATTTTTTTTCCTGATACAACTGTTAAGGGGAATAACCTTGTTTGTTCTTTAAATATATTTTTGCAGAAACTGATCTCACTGGGTACTTAAACATTTACCCAGGTGTTCATAGCAGAATGAGGTTCCACAGGAACTGACTTATGTTCCTTTGGGGTTGCCTACTGCTTTCCAACAAGCGTGGATAATGTTTTGTTGATCTAAAGCTGCCCTCATTGGTGGTGACAAAAAGTTAGCCGCCTGCTTGGATATAACCTGGAGATGTGTGTGTATATGGCCTACATGGTTTGCAGTGAGTGGCTTCTGGAGGAAAATAGCCAGTGATTAGCCTTAATGCCTCAGATAGCTGAGTAAATATTTGTCAGATAAGAATATATATACACCGAGTCCCTCTCTCTGTTTCTCTCTTTCTCCCTGTGTGTAAGGTTACTGGGCCTTTCTGGATGCTCTGCGAGGCTGCAAGAATTCATTTTCCAGTAATAACGAAATGGAAATAACTGTTACTGCAGCCTTACTTTGCTTTCACAGCAATTTTGCAAAGTAATGTTAAAACTGCAAATATCCCTTATATGAAAAGAGATGCTTTGAGAAGAAGTAAAATGCAACTTTCTTTTTTAAAATAGCAAAGCAACTTAAAAAAATTATTATGCCTTTTGCCAAGGGTAAACTCTTCCCCCCCCCTAAAACCATTCTGATGTAAGCAGGGCTTTTGGTAGAAAAAGCCCAGCAGGAGAACTCATTAGCATAATAGGTCCCACCCAACAGCAGAAACTCATTAGCACATTAGGCCACACCCCTGACAGCACAGTTCATTAGCATATTAGGCCACACACCCCATGACTTCCCTTGGCTTGTCCGGGCACCCTGCAGCTGCGGGGAGCCCGGACGAGGCCCCCCTTGAAGGGAAGAGAAGGGAGTTTAAACTGCCTTCCCTTGGCTTGCCCGGACGCCCACGGCTGCAGGGAGCCCGGGCAAGCCAGCCCTTGGAGGGGGGCCCCGCATCTGTGGGGAGTCCAGGCAAGGCCGCCCCGAACTCCATTCCTGTGCGTTCCTGCCCCAAAATAGCTCTGGATGTAAGACATAAGGCTTTTATTAGTTCAACTTGGATTGGTTGGAGATTGTTGTTACTGCTTGCCAGTCAGAGTGGCCATTGTTATTCTAAGCCAGTTTGGTGTAGTGGTTAAGTGCGCAGAGATTCTCCACTCCTCCACTTGCACCTGCTGGATGACCGTAGCTCTGATAAGAGCTGTCCTTGAAAAAGAGCAGTTTCTGTCAGAGCTCTCTCAGCCCCACCTACCTCACAGGGTGTTTGTTGTGGGGAGGGGAAGGGGAAGGAGTTTGTAAGCCGCTCTGAGACTCCTTTGGGTAGTGAAGGACGGGGTATAAATCCAGTCTCTTCTTCTTCTTCTAAATTAACGTAGTAGATGCACTGACACTGTAAAATAACTCTCATCATGAGGTGGAGAAATAACAGACTTTTACTGAATCATGTATCCTCTTTAAAAATAGGTTTTAAGCAATGCATTTTACATCAGACATATCTTAAGAGCATGAAATGGAAGTAAATATGCTCTTTTACATATCAGGTTGATTGCAGAGGCTATTTACAGTGGCCGAAAGTTCCATAGGCTCTCAGCCAGGAGCCTAGCCTGCCGATAGGTGCTGGCTAGGATCCGCTTGTCCCATTGTTACTGCGAGCGAAGCTCGGTCGCTTCTCATGGTGAATTGGCCTTGCACGTGGTGAATTGGCCTTGCACGCGGTCTGAGATGGATACATTACACCCCTCCCCCCTTGGTCCAAAAGTCATCCATACACAAAGTCCTGCAAATAGGAGGGTGCTTTATGGGTTCTCGTTGAGCGGCAAGGTGCAGGAACCGAGGTGGAAGGTGACATCGTAATACTCGGCTGAGGGATGGGTGGTGTTGGCGGTTGTGGTATTGGTAGTGCTGTTTCTTGGGGCCCGGTTGTGCTGTCTGTTGATGCCTCATTGTGCCGGGCCAGGGTGTCCGGTAGCTGAGGTGGAGTGGGAGTTTCCGGGATGTCTGGGTCCTCGAAGTCCTCTGGGTCATGTGGCAGTACCCGCCGCCACAGCTGATCGATATGGCAGTGTAGTATCTGGCCGTCCTTGCTGGAGACCTCATACGACCTGGGTCCCCGGACTCTCACCACCCGGGCCGGAATCCATGGTGGGCCTTGTGCATAGTTCTGGGCGTAGACCGGATCCTTGGGAAAAAAACCTCTGGCTGCCTCAGTTGACTCCGTGGGCGGTTCTTCATCCAGGGCTCGATCGGGATGAAGGCGATCCAGCCTGGTTGTCAGACGCCATCCCAAAAGGAGCTCTGCTGGGCTGTGTCCTGTCGAGGTGTGGGGCATCGTTCTCTGGCCAAAGAGGAATGTGGCCAGCTTGTAGTCCCAGTCCTTGCTGTCCAAACGGCAGAGTGCAGCCTTGGTCGTCCGAACCATGCGTTCGGCTTGGCTGTTGGTCACTGGGTGGAACGGGGCCGATCTGACGTGGCGAATTCCGTAGTAACGGTGAAGTCCTGGAATTCGCTCGAGGTGAAAGCTGAGCCGTTGTCGGTGACCAGGGTGTCAGGAATACCCTGGGCACTGAAGATGTGCCACATTGCCCGGATGGCAGCTCTGGAGGAGGTGGACAGCACTGGAACGACCTCGAGCCACTTGCTGTATGTGTCCACTAGTATAAAGAAGAGTTGACCCTGGAATGGCCCTGCAAAGTCCAAGTGGAGCCGAGACCAGGGCTTGTGTGAGGACTCCCAGGCTCTGGCGAGAGCTCGGGGAGGCTCGGGACGGGATACTTGGCAGGGCTGGGATACCGGTCCAGCCCTGGCCACTAGACGTAACTTCTGGCCAGGGCTTTCATCCCGCCTACCCCCAGATGTGTTTCGTGTAGCGCCGTGAGGCCCTAGAGCGCTCATTCCCTTAACGGGGTTGGAATCACCACCCGGCCACCCCACATTAAACAGCCTTTGTGGGACGACAGCTCATCCCTGCGGGAGGCAAATGCTGTGAAGTCTGCCCCCCCTGGGGCCGTAGGCCACCCCCTTCTCACCCAGTCCAAGACGCGGCAAAGGATTGGGTCCCGGGCTGTGTGGCGGGCCACCTCATGAACATGCACCGGCTGATTGGGGAGAGCCTCCATCAGCGCAACCTGGTGAGCTGGAGCTGGGTCTAGATCCGTGGACAGCAGCGGAAGGCGGCTCAAAGCATCAGCGTGTCCCATTGCTTTTCCCGGCTGGTGAAGAAGCACATAGGAGTAACCTGCCAAGAAAACTGACCACCGGAGCACCCGGCGCGAAGTCATCTGGGGGGTCTGGCAGTCAGGGGCAAGGAGGCCGAGAAGTGGTTTATGGTCGGTCAGGATCATAAAAGGCTGACCATACAGGTAATGGTGAAATTTCTTCACCCCGGCCACAATTGGAAGTGCCTCCTTGTCAATCTGCGTATAGTTGCACTCTGCCGACGACAAGGTATGGGAATAGTACGCTACCGGAACCTCCCGGCCATCCAGTAACTGGTGGCCCAGAACTGCCCCGACTCCGTACAGAGAGGCATCGCAGGCGAGGACCACTGGCAGCGCCTCATTGAAATGGGAAAGGACTGAATTGGAGACAAGAAGGTCCTTTACCGCCTGGAAAGTGGTGGCGTGCTCCGGGCCCCAAACCCACGGAGCATTTTTGTCCAGGAGGTGGTGCAGAGGTTCCGCTACCACAGCCTTCAGAGGGAGAAAGGAGTGATAAAAATTTAACAAGCCCAGGAAAGCCTGCAACTCCGCCTTGGACGTTGATAGGGGAGCCAGCATGATGGACTTGGTCTTGTCGGCCGTGGGGTGGATTCCCTGGGCGTCCACGGCAAATCCTCAAAACTCCACCTTTGGAACCCCGAGCAGGCATTTTCCCCGCTTGACCTTTAGACCGGCCGAGTCGAAACACTGAAGCACAGTCTGAAGCCAGTTGACGAAGGTCGACGCATCTGGGGCCGCGATGAGCACGTCATCTAGAAATGGCTGCACTCCTGGGATACCTTTTAACAAATTGTCCATGGAAGATTGGAAAATGCTGGGCGTGACCGATACCCCAAACCGAAGTCTATGTACCTTGAAAGCCCCCTTGTGTGTCGCTATTGTCTGAGTTTCCGCCGTGGCGGTATCCACCGGCAGTTTCTGGTAGGCCTGGGCCAAGTCCAGCTTGCCAAAAATTCGTGCCCCTGCCAGTGCGGCAGGTGTAGCGCCGTGAGGACTCATTCCTTTAACGGGGTTGTAATCACCACCCGGCCACCCCACATTAAACACGGCACAGATTCGCACATCGCCGTTAGGCTTCACCTATCAGAGTCCCCCACCGTGCAGAAGCTACGGGTTCTAATACCCCCTGGGCCACCAAGCGATCCAGCTCTGCCTCGATTTTAGGCCTCATAGCTATGGGGGGATGCCTGGCCTTGATTCTAATGGGGCGGATGGCCGGGTTGAGTTCGAGTGAGATGGGGCCCCCGTGTAGCGGCCCAGAGTGCCATAAAAAACCCTGGGAAACTCATTACACACAGCCGCGAAATCCTCAGCCCGAAGCTGATTCACCCCCATGAGCTGCAAACCCTGGGGCCCGAACCATGAAAGTCCCAACAGACTGGAGCGGCTTCCACCCACCACCAGCAAGTCCAATTGTCCATTGAAATCTTGAAATTGCACCTCAAACTTGCCCCAGCCCCTAACCGCCACAGGGTTCTTGCTAAAGTCCTGCAACTTAAACCCCTGTGGCTTCTTCAGAGGAGGTCCCCCCCGTGGGCAGAGCAAGCGCAGTGTTTCCTCCGAAATTATGGAGTAGGAAGAGCCAGAGCCCACTTCCATACTGCAGGGGGGGACCCCTCTATAAACACCGACCACTGGTACTGGATACGCGTGGTCTTGGAGGGTTTTATTCAGCATGCACTTATAATCGGCACAGATTCACACATCGCTGTTAGGCTTCACCGGGGAGACTATCGGAGTCCCCCACCGTGCAGAAGCTATGGGTTCTAATACCCCCTGGGCCACCAAGCGATCCAGCTCTGCCTCGATTTTAGGCCTCATAGCTATGGGGGGATGCCTGGCCTTGATTCTAATGGGGCGGATGGCCAGGTTGAGTTCGAGTGAGATGGGGGCCCCGGTGTAGTGGCCCAGAGTGCTATCAAAAACCTGGGAAACTCATTACACACAGCCGCGAAATCCTCAGCCCAAAGCTGATTCACACCCATGAGCTGCAAACCCTGGGGCCCAAACCATGAAAGTCCCAACAGACTGGAGCGCCTCCCACCCACCACCAGCAAGTCCAATTGTCCATTGAAATCTTGAAATTGCACCTCAAACTTGCCCCAGCCCCTAACCGCCACAGGGTTCTTGCTAAAGTCCTGCAACTTAAACCCCTGTGGCTTCTTCAGAGGAGGTCCCCCCCGTGGGCAGAGCAAGCGCAGTGTTTCCTCCGAAATTATGGAGTAGGAAGAGCCAGAGCCCACTTCCATACTGCAGGGGGGGACCCCTCTATAAACACCATGACGTGCACCTTATTGGGGCTATCGGGGGGCAAGTTGCTTACCTGGTGCTGCTGCTGGTGGGCTGAGAGGGTATGCAGGTCCATGTGTAGATCAGATGTCTGGTGAGTTGAAATCTTCTGAGGTTGTCATCGGGAGTGGCAGACCTTGGCGATATGGCCCTGCTTGTTGCAGGAGCGGCAGATGGCGTCCTGGAAATGGCAACCTCGGCGTTCGTGTGCTTCCCCACAGCTGGCGCATGGAGATGACGCAGAGGAGGCTTTTGCCGATGGCACTCCCCCGGCGCGATGCTGCTGGGAAGGACGGCGGCGTACCTGGAGCACTTCATCATTCTCTGAGTGTCCGACTCGAGTGCTGTTTGAATGCAATGGACTGCCCGCACACAGTGGTCTTGGTGCGCCTTCTCATAGGCCGCGGCCTCCCTGAGCGCCTTGTCTAGGTCCAGGTCATCCTGGCTAACCAGTTTCCTCCAAAGTTTGGGTTCCCGAAGACCCAAAAGGAACTGGTTTAGCAGGGCGTCCGCCAGGTCGGGAAATGAGCGATATGGCCCTGCTTGTTGCAGGAGCGGCAGATGGCGTCCCGGAAATGGCAACCTCGGCGTTCGTGTGCAAAGAAGTCCATGCACTCGGCGAATTTCGTTGGCTTTGGGGCAAGATGGTTGGTCAGTGCTTTGACCAACATGGTATAGGAGTCATCCTTGGTTTGCTTAGGCGCAATTAAGTCCTTGATCAGCAATACTGTGTCCATGCCACAGGCTCGGAGGAGGTGGGCCTTCTTCTTACCCGGGTCCACGATGTCATGGCAGTCGAAGCAGCTCTCCAGGATCTCTATCCAGGTCTCCCACTGTGCGGGGCGGGAGATGTCGAATGCGGCGATGCTTTCCTGCGAAGTTGCCATTGTTCTTTCCTGGATTGTAGGTAGCTTGGGACGGAGGCAGCGGAGGCAGCGGAGGCTAGAGAGAAGCGGGAAGTGCTACTGCTCTCGAGGTCAGCATGCAAGGTGCGGAGCGAGGAGCGGCTACCAGAGACCAGGCTCGAAGCGTAGCGGCGGGCGGTCTCAGTGTTGGGGCTCGATGCGAGGCTCAAATCTGCATCCGGGTCATTGTTCATGGGAGATTGAATCCCATCCTCGTCGCCAGTGAAAAGTCCTTAGACTAACGCAGTGATTCAGCTCTAAGACTTTATTAAAGGTTCGGAACAAGATAAACTAACCAGCTCGCAGGCTGGTTTATATGTGCAACAACCCCACACCCAAAACACACCCACACACAAGTGATTGGCTATTTAAAGTGGCCGAGAGTTCCATAGGCTCTCGGTTGGGAGCCTAGCCTGCCGGTATGCGCCGGACTGCGAGCGAAGCTCGGCCACTTCTCATGACCGCGTGGTGAATTGGCCACGCACACAGTCTGAGATGGATACATTACAACTAGAATCCAGGAAACCCCTATCTGAATCCCCACCCCGCCATGGAAGTGTGCTGGCCCAATCACTCTCAGCCTAAGCTGTCACAGAGCTCTTGTTGTGAGGAGAAAATGGAGGAAGGGAGAATGATTCTGTAAGCTGCTCAGCGTCCTCATTGGGTAGAAAACCAGGGTATAAATAATCTCTTTCCAAATTTGCACTTGCCATCACTATTACATCGCACATTTTCTCCTTCTTACTTCTCTGCTGACAGAACAGCTTGTTGCAGAATGACTGCTAACTCAGGGGACGATGACGTTTGTGTCTAATGGGACCCGATCCCACGGCTGGAGTCTGCATAGTGTCTCTTCTGCATTGTCAACCCAGCAACCAGCAGCTCTGTAGTGGGATACCCTCTGTGCTGACTTTGATCTTTCCCCATGGATCAGCTGTCATGTCTTCTCTCCTTTTTGATGGGAAATCCATGTGCAATCTCTGATAATATCATTTCTCAGATTTCAACACTTTTGGGACATAGGACTAGGAATTATATCTTGAGTTCATGTCCTCATGCTGGCTGGCTGCCCTTGTTCTTCGTGTTTGTGGGAAGGGGGAAGCATTAAGAGGCACTAGGGGCAGTGTCACACATGACCAAGTGTATGGCAAATACTTATAACAAAAAGAGAATGCAAAAGAAAATACATACATTTTTGTTATGATTTGAAGACAGCTTTAAAATTTAAAACTGGTATTTTGTGCAAGTAACAGAATCAATGTGTTTTTTTTGCAATTCTTTTAGACATGAAAAGGAGGCAAGATAAAGCCAAAAATAGATGTGGGGGTTGGAGGGAGGATGAGGGAATGACTCTTATGAGTATTCAAGAGAGAAGTGACAGGGAAAGGTGATAATGGTATGTAACCTTTTCATTAGTCTGTTCTTTGGGATTTCCTGAATACAAACCCTGCTGGAGCACTGGGGAGTCACATGATGCTTTGGCAATTTAAGAATGGGCTCCAGGGCAGACAGAGGCAGGAAAACTTGGCAGCACTTCCATCCTGCTGACAAACAGAGCATAAGGAAAGGGACCTGAGGGACTAAATGGAAGCAAAAGTGGTGGAAACAGGGATACCATTCATCAGGTGGGGGATCCTCTGCTTTGGTGGGCTCCTGCCTGCTGCTGGACACCTGGCTGGCAAGAAGAAATCCCCCACCCCTGGCACCATGCGCGACACACTTATGTCACCTGGAAGTGACGTCAGCACATTGGTGACGTGGGGGGGGGGACACTCTGCTTTTTGGGCAAAACTCTATGGTTTGAGGCCATTTTTACCATAGAGTTTTGCCCAAAAAGCAGAGTGTCACCCCCAATGTGCTGATGCCCCCGCCCACCCCTGGAACGCTCCCCCAAATCCCCCTGCTGGCGTGACGAAGGGACATGGCAACCCTAGGTGGAAAGTGCCATCAAGTCACAGTTAACTTGTGGCAACCCTTTATGATTTTCAAGGCAAGAGACATTCAGAGGTGGTTTGCCATTGCCTGCCTCTGCATGGCCACCCTGGACATCCTTGGTGGTCTCCCATCTAAGTACCAATCAAAATCTGACTCCACTTAGGGCTAGTTGGACCATCCAAAATCATACTGCCTTTGTTACCGAAACTCCTCTAAGGATGGTTCCGAGAGCCCAGCTCTGTCTTATGTATGGCAGTGGGCGTGCGTGAGTAATTACCCGTGTATACAGAGGGCGGATCGGCCAATGAA